TATTTTGTTGTTCGAAAAATATTTTTCACCCTGCTACCTCCAAAAAAACAGCTTCAGCTTTATTATATTAGTACTAGCAACTCACCCTCGCTTCGCTCGGGTTCGTCCCTAGGTACATTTTGATTTTTTTGAGCGAAACCATAATTCTTTTACTGAAATAAAAGTAGCCTAAGTTACTTATTATAACATCAACTACCTGCCAGTGAAAGTCCCGTCAAAATTGGTCTAGCCGTTTTGGAGATTAGCCGGAACAAACAGACAGACAGACAGATAGACAAAATTTAAAAAAAATGTGTTTTTCTTATGAATACCGTATATAATTTCCATATACATTTAGTCAAAAGCTGTTATTATGTCATTACAAGACACTTCAATTTTATTTATCTGTAAGTATAGATAGTTTACAAGTTGTCAACAATCTAGGTAATTATTTTTAATTTAGTTATGAAATCCCCCAACTGACCCATATAATTTCCTGAATAGCCTTAGCTATTAAAGCACAATTTTTTTTTAAAGTAAATTAGATTTAAGACAATTTTACATAATTCATCATTAGGATCGTACTTCAATAGAGGGAATATACGTAATAAGATTATATGAGCGGTGTCTGCATTCGTTTATCTGTCCCGTTTCTTCTAATTGTTGTAAATATTTATTTTTATTTGTTGTTTTTTAGCATTTCTCATTCCATAATACTTCCTTAGATTTACGCGAATATTTGACATTTTAAATAAAACTATCTTTTCGGATTATTTCGCGGATTTATTTTGATTTTTAGTTCCCGACGTTTCGAATGCTTTACAGCATCCATGGTCACGGGAGAGACTGAGGTGTTAGATGTCTCGAAGGTATAGTTGTTACAGACAGCCTACCCAGTACCCACAATTAACAAAATGAAAAATTGTACCAAGTACCTTACAATAATTTATAAATTTAAACATTTATATAATTTTAATTAGTTTTATAATTGAATATGGCATATTATTTATTGAATTTTTGCTGTTATCATTATAATTATTACAATTTTAAAAATATTAATATTTTTTATATTTTACGAGTATATTTTTTCTTTATGGTTATAAATATGATAATGGCAACACTAAATATAGATTATTATCATCATCAATATTTAAAATATATAGACTGCTTAAAACACTTTAGACAAGAGTTTGTCTTATAAGTGATCACACCACCTAACAAAATCACTTAACAAAAATAAATCTATACAATAATCTATCTAATATTATAAAGAGGTAAAGTTTGTGAGTTTGTGACGTTGTAGGTAGGGGGTAATGTCTGGATCTACTGAACAGATGAAGATTAATTTTGGTAAGAAAATAGTTTGAGACCCTGGGAAGGACATAGGATACTTTTTATCTCGGAAATCATACCTTAAGGGGGTGAAAATGGGGATGGAAGTTTATATTGGAAAGCAAGCTAAATACTTAATAATTATTTTACGAATTTCTAAAAATTCTATTTAATTATGACGAAGAAGATAAAAACTGAGTGTTTAAATCTAATAAAATTTTCGCCGAGAGTAACTGGTTCACATGTTACGTTCATTAACTCTTATTTGATTATCCTGCCCCGCTGCCCCGCTGCCCCGCTGCCACGCTCAGACTGATTCACTGTTTTACAACTTCATGGAAAATCTGTTTTTATAAAAAGGTTGATTTTTTTTAAATCATTTAACCAAGTTTTCTTTGTTAAGAGATATGATCTACGTATAAATGGTTATAAGAATATTTTCAGAAGTTAAAGTTTTAATTAATATTTATCACCCATAATTTTCAATATGAATAAATGTAAGCCCTTTTGAACATATTTAAAAACGCTGCGATTTTATAGTATTTTCATTGAAACAGTATATTTTCTTATAATACCACTAAACCCAATCTTTATCCGTTGTTCCTATTCCCTACCCTCTGTTTCTACCTCTCTGTTTTTCTAAATAAGTCACTCGAACCAAGCTCAGCTGAGCGAAAGTCCAATTAAAAGTAATCTATCTATAGGCAGACGGAGTGACAAACAGATGAATAATATTTGTTCAATACAATATAGTTTATTTATGTAGATGTATAAATTTATCCTTTCTTCAGTTCTATATTGGCATTTTTGCAATTAGTTAACTATTATGAATAAGTGTAGGTATGAACATATGAATAATTATAGAACGACTAGCATTGCCCGCGAAGCGCGGCTCCGCCCGCGTTTTGGTGACCAAAAACCAAATTCTTAGGTTTTACATATTAGTATACTCTTACATTGCAGTTTTTGTATTTTTTCTCAGAAATGAGAAATTTCCCTGCGATAAAAAGTATTCTATATGTTGACCCGGATAACCAGCTATCACCATACCAAATTTCATCAAAATCCCTCCAGTGGTTTTTCTGTGATGCGGTAACAGACAGACAGAGAGACATACAAATATTCTAAAAACTATAGATTCGGACTCTGTATCGATAATAATGTCTATTTCAATTAGATTTTCCAAAAAATGTTTTATGTACAGATTCGACTTAGTTACAATTTTATTATATGTATAGATGATATGGGGTCCATAAAATTTTGTTATATGGTTTAAAAAACCGACAGTAATAGAAAATAGAGCTCTTACTTTTTATTATTAAGCTTATGCTAATCGACGTAGGCTCTTTGTAAACGAGAAGTTTGTAGCAAATCTAGTAAATGGGGTTCCCCCTTTCAATTGGGGTAAATGTCAGTATAATAATGGGTACAGCGAGCGTGCGTGATTGAACCAAACCCTGTTAGGGTTTTACAAGCCTCCAGGGATGTTCCATTTCGCATTGATTCTCTACCAAAAATGTATCATTATAGCTGGGATTATAGTTACGCACTTACCATGTGTGTCCTTCTTAATATATTCTTTTGTGAATATAAAAAAAAATGTTAAAAATTGATACAGAATATAAATGCAAAGAGGTTTAAACTTTTAGAATAAAGCCTTTGAAGTTTTAATTAAAAGCTACAAAAAAGTATTAAATATTATCAACGAAAAATTCAAATTACTACGTATTGGATTTTATTTAATGATACGCTTATGTTTATTATTTTGATATCTTTAAAATAAATAAAGGTGTCCGAATATAATTTAGCTAGTGTTAGCTTGATGTTGTAATATGTTAGTAGATCCGCGGGCAAAAAATATCTAAAAGTATAGTTAATTAACCTTTAAAAATTAAAAAATGCTCCTACATAACGGCGGCGTTACATCTCTTGCACTTGTGTTTGTGCACACACTTGTACACTATATTATCTTCTGCAGGATATAATCATCAGAAGGATATTATTATTATTCGTTTTATTCGTTAATAATTTTCTAAATGCATTTTTAGCTATTGAGTAGGACTATTAAAGTACCCCCCCAACGTGCGTTCACCTTGTCGTGGTGGGGGGGCTCAGTAGCAGTAGCGAAGCTAAGAAACGCACAGGGAGGTTGCCCACTTCGGTGGGCGGTGGGAGGTGGCCCTCTTCGGGGGGCGGTGTACTATGCGGGTTGCTCCTGGTACTTCTCTGATAGCAGAGTGGACTGTGGAGCAACCCCATGGTTGTGGTGCTCTGCTTCGGCGGACCTGCCGTCGGGGCGTCGTAGTTGAATGCGTAAGCGATCCTGCGACGCCCCATTAAGACGGGGGAAGGTTTTGTTGGGTTTTAGTGGGTAGTACTGGCTGTATTACGCCGGTGAGTCCCACACGTCGTGCGTAAATGCATTTCCCAACGTTAAAAAAAAAAAACAGGACTATTAAAGTAATTTTACTAGTTTTCGCAACTATAACCAAAATGCAAGCTCTACCTATATTCTCCTGCAAATTTTTTACTATGACATATTCGGAAAAGCCCACTTGGACGTTTCATTGCAAGAGCAATGTCCATAGTATAAAGAAAAAGCCATCTCTAAAGCTGTACACGACTCTGTAAGAAAACAACTTTGTTCGACTTAATCTGATATCGACCAAAAGTGTACAGAAAATATTTTAATTACTATCTTTTATCAATTTACATTTTTTAAAAAAAAATATCTATATATTTTAGTTTTAAAAATATCTATACGGTAAATGTTGTATCGTAGTTAATAGAAATTATATGTATTATATAATCCCCATCTTTTATTCCCGAGGAACTCATTGTTAGTTAGACAAATGTTGAAAATATTTAATCAACTGGGTTTTATTCAATGATGAAAATAAGTCAAGTGCCTGCCGGTCTCAGGTGAAGTAGGGTTCAGTTTAATATGGTAATTTAAAGGAATAAAAACTTTTAGGGGTTTGTGTTTTAAAATCTCTCTTTCAGCCCTATTTAACGCCAAAGTTGGGCACGGGCCTACCTAGCATTGAAAATTGCGAGGGAGATCAGATCATCGTCCATCGCGTTGACCAAGCAAAAGTTGGAGGACTTTAAATGTCTTTCGAAAATTAGTTAGGTTCTCTTAGACATGCAGTTTTTTCACGATGTTTTCTTTCACCGTAACGTAAGTGGTAGTTATGTTGAAATAATATACATATAATAATATAATAGTCTCAATTTTTTTTCTCGAAATACTAGGCTTCAAAGAACTGATATCGAGAATGTTAAATTTTTGTAAATTTTTATAAATTACGTAATATCTGATCTGATAATGTATTTTATAATATCTGACCTTTCCATGACTCTCCGACTTAATCGGTTTAAGCGTTTAGAAGAATCACCTAGATAAATAGATAGTCGAAAATGCCAAATATTGGCTGTTCTGCCGCAGAAAAAGCAGTTGTATGTGCTATATACATATACCTATTTATTAAATTATGATGTAATAGTTTTTCTTTCGTATGCTTCATTTTGTTCCATATAATTTATTATAATTTTTTACTAATTTTATATGGATCTATATGAAAAAATTAGCAAATAAAAAAAAAAACAAAAATAAGTTTACTTTAGATGTGTTCAAATTTAAAAGGATTACATGTGTCCCTTAAAAGCTTATTGAGAATTCAGTATTATTGTTCGTAAGGAGTGAAGGTAGGCGCGGGCCGGCGCGGCGTCGATACGCGCACCGGCCTGACGTCGCCGCGCGCTGTGGACACGCGCACTCGCGTCCTCGCCGCGACAGCTCGGCCACAGAGCGTTTCGCGACGCATGTTCCTCGTCCTCTCGGTGTCACTACGGACGACCTCTATATCTGTGACGCGATATCTTGATTGATCACCTCGTCCTTCGCGAAACGGACTCAATCGAAGGAAACGTTGTGTGTTAAAAGATTCGTATCGAATGCAAGTCGAGTGAAAACAAACATCCGAAAGTGTTATTAGCGCAGGCGCGCCGCACGCGGACATGACGAAAGCGGCCATCTTGCTCGAGAACGCAGTTTCGCCTCGCCCCAGTGTAAGAGTTTAATCGGAAACCCTCGAATCGTATAGCTACAAGCGAAAGATGCGTGTCGGATCCTCGCCCCGGGCGGTAATTCCCTGAGGCCGCACGTCGCCGCTATCGATCCGGCGGGGCGCGATGTCGTCGGTGTGAATGCGGACATCGGGTGTGCGCAGCCTGGTGCCCGTGGCGCGGCCTGCGAGTGAGCGTGCCGAGCGAGCGCGGCATGTGAGCGCGCGCGCGGGCGGCGGCGGCGCAGAGTGACCGCCATGGGCGAGGAGTACGCGCGCTCCCCGTGCGAGCGCTTCCCGGCGGTGGGCGCGTTCAGCGTGGCGCCGCCGGAGCGGCTCAGCCCGCCGCCGCCCGCGCCGCTGCCGGACCGCTTCTCGGCGTCCCCGCGACGGGTGCGGCGCGGCGAGGCGGAGCGCCGGCGGCCGCGCTACGTGCCGCCCGCGGCGCACGTGCCCGTGGAGCGCTACGTGCCGCGGCCGCCCGCGCCGCAGCGCGCGCCCGCCTACTGCGGCCTGGCGTGCCGCCCGCCCGCGCGCAAGTGCTGCGACCTGGCCGCCTCGCCGCCGCCGGCCCGCTATGTGGAGTACGTGGGCGCCGCGGCCGCGCGCCGCCTGGCCTGCACGCCGCCGCCGCCGCCGCCTCCAGCTCTGCAGCTGCCCTGCGAGCCGCAGGAGCCACCCTGTTGTATACAAGCCCGCCGCCGGACCCAGCCTCCGCATGATTGGTAAGTACGTGCACTGATACCCGGACGGATAAATGTTATGAAAAGTAAACATGTCAATAAATAAATAAATACTTGATTTGGTAAGAGATGTTTATCTACTCACTTAATAGAATTTCTTGTATCTACTGATAGATCAATTTATATTTCTCTCGCATTGCAATAACAATTAGGTCACGACGTATAAAAGGTAAGGATAAAAGGGTTTACTTTTGGGACCCGATATCGCCATTACCAAAGAGCAAGTATTGTAATTGGTTAATATTTCGTGAGTGGAACTGATAAAGTTAGATTGATGACTGAAAGTCATTTAAATAACCATGCCTGTGATGCGATACTAAGGTTTTTAAGGGCGGCTGTATAGTAAAATCGTTTGTTACTCTTTCGTACTAACACGGCTGGGCGGACTTGCATGAAATTTAGTACACAGAGAGGCCTGGAGTAGCATATAGGATAGTGTTAGGCACCTAGAAACGATCCCGAGAGTAGCGAGATAATATTACTCTTATTAGGAAATAAAAAAAAAACATATATCTATATTTTTTATTTTAGAGTGTTGTGAACCTTCTCTTCTCGGTTTACAAATGGTTTTCATACCACAACCACTTATAGGCTGTGTTTTTATAATTATAGGTTTGTTTAATATTTATACGATTACGTAAAGAACATGGTAGTTACAGTACAATAGTAGGGGATACGATACGAACTCTCTTTTTCAATGTTCCAAAATTGTAAAAAAATTGACTTGCGGTGTATGTATTAAGCCCTTTTTAATGTCCCACTGCTGGGCACGGGCCTCCCTTCAAAACGTGGGGGGATCAGGCCATAGTCCACCACGCTGGCCAAGTGAGGGTTGGCGGATTCCTTATTATAATATAATATTTTTGACCGAATTAAAAAAAAAAGATTTTTTTATGTACTTATGCTATTCGCTAATTGTGAATTAATTTTAATGATTAATTATTTTGAAATGAATCTAGAGAGCTACATTAGTTTCACATTTTTCAGCCATAAGGGTTTCAAGTTTCAACTCTTACTTATTTTTAAAGTGACTTTGAAGTCCATTTACCTTTGACAGGTAAAAATATTAGGTAAATAAAATATCTATATTATCTTAGTTATATGTGACTAGCGCCTTACCCACGCTTCGCTCGGGTTCGTCCCTAGGTACGTTTTAACGGTTAGTATGGAGTAGATAGATTATATTATATGTAATGATATACACTCTATAGCTTTCCTCAATAAACGGGCTATTTAATTCAAAAAAGAATTATTCAAATCGGGTTAGTAGTTTCTGAGATCAATGCGTTCAAACAAACAAACAAAAATATAAACAAACAAACAAACTCTATCTCTTTATGATATTAGTATAGTATTATTATATAATTAACTTAAAGATTATTATATAATTAACTTAAATATACAAATATTTAGAATAGAAATATAGTATCTTCTTTAAATTCGGGCTATGTAATGCAAAAACTATGTAAATAAACAAACGAACTATCTCTTTATAATATTAGTATAGTATTATTATATAATTAACTTAATGATTATTATATAATTAACTTAAATATACAAATATTTAGAATAGATATAGTACCTTCTTTAATTTCGTGATATATCAGCTTATTCAAAAAATTACATCTAATAAAGATTTTTTAGGGCTACTATATCTGCAACTATCTTTTTGAGGATAATATTACCCATGTTACATTAACAATATTTTTATCTACGAACAACGGTCTTATCACTTGTAATGTTAAAAGATAAGCGTTAGGTGTGCCTTGGTAACTTTACAGAGCGATTTGTTAAACGTAAGGGATCTAATAAATTAAAGTGTATTTTTATAAATGTGAATAGTGAGAGCTATTATGACGTATTATTAAAACATTTAGATATTAGTTAAAGTGAGAAAGTTTATTCTGTGTTCGTGTCATAGCAAAACCGGAAAACTCGACAAAATAGGTTATGACTGAAGAAAAGTAAGTGTTCTTGTTAGACTAATCATTTAGTATTTTACACAAACGTCTTATGGTTTAAAATTAATATGTTTCCAAAATATTTCTTTGTAAAAAACTAGTAAATCTAATTGGAATATAAAACCGTTGTTAAAGTATTTTTACAAATAATAAAACCTTCAAACGTTTTCTGACTTAGTTTATTGTCGAGCATTTCTCGTTTAAAACTTGGAAATATAAAAGTTGTGGAGATGCTTCAGTACTTTTTATTTTAACTTAATACAAGTTATTTTAATAATAATAATAATAATAATAATAATACTTTATTTCACAAAAATACATACATATTGTAGTTGAAAAGCATATTGAACAGTACATTTTGAAACAAACAATTTAGACTATCAATACAAATAATACGGTTGTCTCTGCTGCCGTACTAGGAGACCTGTATTACGGCATACAGTGCCAATCCCCCAAAAAATTGTCAGAATTAAATTATCTGTTTAGTGTGCGAGTGTGCCATTTTGAGCTGTTGGTTGGTGCTATATGTATATATGTATGTGTCTGTGATGGGTGTGTGTGTTAATGTGTGTGTGTGCGTGAGTGTGTATGTGTGTGCGTGTGTGAGAGAGAGAGAGTTTGTTGTGAATGGGTAGTGATTATATGAAAAAAAAAGTAGTTCTTATCTGGAGTAGATCAGCAGTGATTCTGTGTTCGAGTAATCCTGTTTTAGAAGCCAGTCCGTAAGTTTATGTTTTAGGTCGTAGGTATTTAAATCTATAATGTTTAATTTTTTATGAAGGTTTCTATAAATATGTACACTTAGGACAAAGAATTGGTTTTTAGCAAACGAGGTTCTGTGTTGCACATTTGGTGGAAGGTTTGTTCGTTTATTTGAATTTGATGGGCTAACGTTCTTGTGTCTTCTCAGAGTCGACATGAGCACGAAGAGCTGTCGGACCGTCAATACGTTAGTATCTGAATAGACTTGGGAAGTTGGGTATTTATAGGGTTTTCGCAAAATAACTTTAAGTACAGCTCTCTGTGCCCTCTCAACCCTAAGAAGACTTGCTTTACTTGCACCGCCCCAAGCAGCAATACAGTATCCAATGATCGATTGACATAGAGCGAGGTAGGTCATTCTTAGAATCTCTAGGTTAGATGACTCCCTAAGTAGTTTAAAAGTGTGGATTAGTCGCATTATTCTAGTGACGAGAGCGTTTATATGAACATCCCACCTTAATCCATCATCAATTTGAACGCCTAAATACTTTACAGTGTCAGTTCTTGTAAGAGGGGCACAGGAACATTGTATTATCGGTGCGTCACATGTGTGGGCAATTATTGAGTATGAGTTTGGAGGTTTATTTCTGCGGCGAATAGTGAAAGGGATGTATGCAGTTTTGTTGATGTTTAGTGTCAGAAGATTTAGTTTCAACCATTTCATGATACTTTTGAGGGCATATTCAGCTTTTATCTTGACTTCTTCCCAGGTAGATCCTTTAACTATAATCGCAGTGTCATCAGCATATGCATAGATTTTACAGTTTGGGAGGGTCATTTTACAAAGGTCGTTTACATAAATTTGGAATAGAATGGGACCAAGTATACTCCCTTGAGGTACACCGTAATTAATAGTCCTTTCGTCGCTTAAGTAGGAATCAATTTTTACTACTTGCTTGCGATTGGTAAGATAATCTCTAAAAATATCCAAGGCCATACCACGGACTCCGAGGCGCTCAAGTTTCGTGATTAGCAAGGGAACAGAGACTGTGTCAAACGCCTTAGACAGATCTAGAAAAATACCAAGACAAAAAAAAGTTGTTAGAGAGAATAATTTATAGTGTAGCACTTGCTTAAATGTTAGCATCGATCAAATATTTTAAAATCGACATAAGTTTATAATTGTCTACAAATGAAACTTAACATACCGTTTAATCCCAAAAAAATATATACTAGGTATATATTGACGATACGTTTGGCTCAGTTTGTAGTGACCCTACTTGCTGTGCTAGCGGTTGCGGGTTCGAGTCCCGCTGGGGGCATTCATTTGTGTGATGACGAATGTTTGTACTCCAGTCATGGTTGTTTATATTTATAATATGTATGTATTTAAAGTTATATATGTGTAGTGTATCAACTTTCTGGTATCCATAACACAAGCCTCGTAGCTTACCGTGGAACTGGATGGTGCTGTATGTTAATGTCCCTACATACATACCTATTATTGTACATATGTACACACTGGTATGTATATCGGAAATAGTAATCTCTGTATGAAACGTTTGTAGTAGAGATATTACGTATAGATATTATTTAATAGATTAGCTAAAAGTTCAATGACTTTTAATGTAAAGGAATGAATACCATCCATTTGCTGTTTTTGAAGATGAAAACATAGTAATTACATTTTTTTAGATATATTTTTCAATTTTATGTATTATGTGTATAGCATAACATCAGCAATCTACTATATTATATGAAGATATGTATTTTCAGGTTTAATTTTGTCTGACGTCATTTTTATACTTGCCTCACGAAGTTCTTCGATTTGAATGGTTTTGGAAATCTATCAATGTCTTATCTATACTTATTATAAAAATAAGTCCCCCGGCCGCGTCTTTCTGTCCTCCTGTCTGTCCTCCTGTCTGTCTGTACGCGATAAACTCGAAAACTACTGAACGGATTTTTATACGGTTTTCAACAATAGAAAGAGTAATTCTTGAGGAAGGTTTAGGTATATAATTTATTATGCTTTTATGTAAATTAGCTGAAATACGGCGACAAATGTTGAAGAGGTCGCAAAAAATCTCGCCAAATGGGAACTTTCCACGCGAACGCCGCGTAAACTAGCAAAGATACAGTTAAGTAATGTACTAGAGAATTCAAAATCTATAAAAATGCTACAAAAAAGTCCGCGATAGCATATCTCTATCTCTTACGGTTGACTTACAATAACCACTTTTATGTTAACATTTTTAATTAAAAACATTACGTTATTTTCAAAGTTATTTTCTTTAGTTCGGTATTAATCCTTATCCAA